CCTATTCAGAAAGAAAATATGTATATGCCTGTGTACAGACATACACACCTCCCACCACAGCAGACCCTGTCAAAGTCTGGTCCTCTGGGTTTTTGTTTTCTGCCCAAAGTTGAGCTTCCATGGGGATTCTCCAATGCCCAGAGAGGCTTGAGGCATTTCCATCAGTGGGCACCTGAGTTGCCATCCTCTGTTTAGCCACCCTATTTCCACAATGCCCATAAAGGCATCTTTAAGTCCTTCCCTGTCTTCTCTGAAACTGGCTGGCAGATACAAAAGCTGCTGCAGTGAGAGGGCAAACCAGGCAGGCAGGGCTCTACACACAGGCAGAGGGGCAGCACGATCACACACCTTGTTTCTTTAGGAAATCAGATTAAAAAGCAATTGACTCTTTGCCAACTGTAACCAAGCCCAAACCATTAGCTGGCACTGTCTCCACCCAAGCAACAAAACCTCATTTGGAGAATGCAAGTTTTTAATCTCAGAGCCTGGAAAAAAGTTCATCTCAGCAAAACAACAAGTGGTCACATCTCTGGATTTTCTCCAGCATCTTCCTCCCTGCACCTCTGCAAACTCCATTTCTAGATATATATATTTTTAGATTGTGCAGCACCAGGAATACATCACACAAATACACATGAGCATATGTTCTTTATCCCTAGGCACTTGCAAACAAAACAGAAAAGCAGCAAAAGGAGCATATATTTCAGTCCATCAACCTCAGCATTTCCGTGGCCTCCTGGACTGTGCCATCCAGGTATTTTGTTGGCCCTAGGACTTTTTTCTCTTGTTACCATCGATTTATGAAATTTTCTTTTTGTTAGTCCCAGGACTTGTGTGTGGCCTTTATTATATTATGAAATTTCATTTCCTGTCATCTGCTGGGATTAGACTTTGATGGGAAGATGCAGGTTTACAAGGCTTGTGGTGACAAGCTTGACCCCAGAAGGGGAGGTGTAAAACCCTCCATCTCTGGCGGGCGGTCCAGGAACATGGGACACCCACCTTGGAGATGGCTGGAGATGGAGTGAGTGATGACTGAGAACAGGATACTGGTCTCCTTGCTCCCACATGGCCTACCCCAGCTGTAAAACCCATTACCCTAGGACACAGCAACACACTGAAGTGCTCCGACTCCCAATTCCTTGCTCTGTTAGATCTTGTTCTTCTGACACTAATACAAGGCTTTTAAAGGCATCTTGGCTTCCCCTCCGGATACATCACCCTTCAGCAAACAGTTGCAGCCCATGTTTGCAACTTCAACACTTCTCAGGGTTTTTTTTTTTTGTTTGGTTGGTTTGTTGTTGTTGTTGTTTTGTTGTGTTTTTTTGTCAGCTGTTTCCCCTCTGCTGTCTCCATGTTGCCCACATAACCCTGTGTTTCACAAAAAGGTTTTTTCCATTTTCTTGCCACCTCTACCACCTGAGCTCCAGTGATCCCACTGCTCCACCTCAGCTGCTTAAGCCCAACCCAACCCCCCAACCTCCCAGCTACAGCAGCCAAAATCCACAGGTGGCCAGAAAGGGGATCTATCCTCCACCATCTCGTGTCAGTGATTGTCCTCTCTGGCAAGAACAGGGAAAGGCAAAGGGGATGGCACAGAGCCAAGGGAGGCCAAGGAGCTGGGATCACCATGGGGCAGAGGCCCCTTCACAAGGAGCTTTTGTGGATGCCAGAGCTCCAGCCTCTCGGCAGCACACTTGGCACTGCAGGCTTTTCCATCCCTTGGCTGCTGGCTGTGTCAATAGCTGGGATATAACCGGAGCAGCAGCTCTGTCAGGACTCTCCTGCAGTGCTCCAAAGGTGTGCTACCAGGCAGAAGAGGACAAAAGTGGAGACACCATGCTCTTGTAGTCCTCCCCCAATATATGTGTCCTGAAATGAAGTGACTTTCTTTTCAGCAAAGGTAGCTGGGATGTTGGACACTTGGCAACACATTAGTCCACATTTAAGACTGGCAGGCAACCCAACAGGGGGATTTTCCAGCCCCACGTGACTTCCAACCTTGTCAGTCCAAGTCCACCTCACCTCTCTCTCTAGAAGACCATCTGCTTAATGCTAGGAGACACAGAAGAGAAAAACAATGTGCTCAGAGAGACTCACGAGGTGCTTTGGGTAACATGTCCAACATGAGCACACAATGTTCTGCATCCGTGACAAAAACAACAGGAAAAACCTGCTCCTGCAGGCTTGCCAAGCTGGGATTCCAACAACAAGTGGCAACGTATCAGCTGGCGATGAACAGCTCTTGATTCAGGGAATGATGCACTCTCCCAAAAAGACTCAGGGTCTAGATTTTTTATATTAGCAAATGATAACATGCAGGGTGCCATACAGGCTCCTGCCCAAGACCTAACTCATAATGAGGGACCTAGAGGGAAGTGCCAGCTAAAGGAGGTGGTTCCCAGTTGCACTGTCCCACAGGGTGTCAGAATAATGTTGGACCTCTACGTGAGCTCGTGAAAGTGCAGCTCAGGACCACTCAGTAAAGTGATTTGATGATTTGGACAAGGGCAAAGCCCCATGAACAAGAAGCCTCCTGGGAGAAGGGACAGCAGCCCATTAATGGAGTGATAGAGAAGATCACCTGCAACAGCTCAGCTGAGACCCCAGTGCAACCAAAGGAGAGAGTTAGGCTCTGGTCTCATGGACCTGCTGAGCAGCAAGGAAGGATAGTTTAGAAACTGCATTTTGGAATGCATGGAGGGGACTGTGACACGTAGCTGATTCATCTCTCACCCCACAAGACAACTGGCATGGCAGATGGTACCATAGAAGCATCTCAGCCACTGCCAGCAAGGGAAAGCGATGCCTCTGTGTTGT